GTCCCGACAGAATATCACAGACTTGATATGTACTGGTCACATCACAAATGTATTATTCACGCTTTTAATCCTCAGTTATAGCGTGGGAATATACCTACACTGAGTCGTTTTTTTCAATCCGTTTTTAGACACCTGCGTGATGTTTTCGGATGTTTGTTTGATATTTAGTCTTGAAAGTCAGAGTAACATGTGTATACGATTAAGATATTAAGTAGAACAACGAGGGTCACGGGTTACGGGTCAAGGGTCACGGTTGGTCTTTTCATTGTACCCATTGTATTAAAACCACAGCTAATCTCAAATTATTTAGATTGTGCGCAAAAATAACCTGATATGAATATCTAAAAATGAACATATAATAAAACAATGTTTTTTTTTTTATTTCTCATCCGATTTTTTCAGATTGGTCATATTTTCAAAGGACGGAAATAATTAAAATCTTTAAAAAATGAATTATTTTTAACAGCTTTTTTTCAGAATGCGGAATTTTTTACAATTTGGTGTAAAAGCTGTAATTAGCATTCCATTTTCTGTCGTGTCATATTTCGTCAATAAAGTGCCTCAAAATTGAAATTCGCAAGTTAGAAATATTAGGAAATAAGACCAGAGTGAACAAGACAGCATGGCATCTTTTTCCCCCTTCTTTTTATCGTCAAGAAACTACCGCTTGACATCGTGCTTTTTATCTGTAATGAACTATCAACTTCCATGCAAGGAAAATGTAAACTGACACCTGTTGCCGGCGTATTTTCATCTATATACACTCCCAACCAGGAAAAAGCATTACTTGGAGAATCCAAAATGTGTTCACCAAGCTGTCAGTGGGGAATGCAGTCGTCTATTTATTCGAGTTAAGATGCGTCCAGAGTTAAGTGAAAGACCAATTTTATTACCAGTCGCAGCAAATGGAAGAAATTGATTGGCACAAATGTCCCTAATTACCGTTGGAGTCATAGTAATTTACTGTAATATAGCCTTAATTGGAAACACGATATCTCTTGCTACTAACAGAAATCGCAACTGTTGTTTACATAGGGATTCATCTAAGGGATAAAGGCTCCTTTCCATTCGGAAGTTCCTGTCTTTGAACCGCATCAGGTTTGGTACAAATGGACATACTCAAGATCAATGAATACACGCTCTCACTCATAATATCAGACATAGCCTGACGTCCCTCTGTCCATCACTCATGTTCCTTTATAATAGAAATGTTCACGACAGAAACAAATCAATTTGAAATTTCTTTCTTTAAGTATTTTTAATGCTTTCAAAAAAACAGAATTACGACCTCGCACGGGCCTCCAATATCTGCACCATATTAGGGATTAGGGCCGCTCGACCAACGTTCTCATTCCGAGAGCTGGATATTTAATATGCAACCTCGTCATGACGTATAAAATACATTGTGACCTTGGGCGCTACTTGTGGTACTTCATTTCATGTCTTTGTTTTAAACCTACATCCTTGGAAGGGAATTTGAATTTTAAGTATTCTGACAGTTAAAAATTTGTCTATTGTGGGTTCCAGACCTATAATACTGACAACGGGATAACGAACGCACACCACTATCTGATGTAATGCTTTATGTCACGCTTGAAACAATGAGAACGAAGTTAGTGTCAGTCTTATCGGAAAACACATAACGTTACCGCTAAAGAGTTTAAGAGCCTACGAGTTCCTCGACAATAACTCTTAGGGGCGATAACTCCTTTTCACTGATGTTATTGTCTATTAATAGAAAACGGACGATGATTCCTTTTCATTGGTGTTATTATCTATTAATAGAAAACAGGGACGATAACCCCTTCAAACTAGTGTAATTGTATATTAATAGAAAACAGGGATGATAACTCCTTTCATTGGTGTTATTGTCTATTAATAGAAAACAGGGACGATAACTACTTTTTCACTTGTGTTTTTGTTTATTAATAGAAAACAGGGACGATAGCTACTTTTTCACTGGTGTTATTGTCTATTAATAGAAAAACAGGGACGATAAATCCTTTTCACTGATGTTATTGTCTATTAATAAAAAACAGGGATGATAACTCATTTTTCACTGTTGTTATTGTCTATTGATAGCAAACAGGAACGACAATTCCCTTAAACTGATGTTATTGTCTATAAATAGAACACAGCGACAATAACTCTAGCAATTAGCAGGGACGATAACTCCCTCTGACTGATGTTCTCGTCTTCTAATAGTAAACAGGGCCAGTAACTCTGTTTTATTGATGGTATCGTCTACCAATGAACAGGGACGATAACTCCCTCTGACTGATGTTCCCGTCTTCTAATAGTAAACAGGGCCAATAACTCTGTTTTATTGATGGTATCGTCTACCAATGAACAAGGCCTTTGACTCCCTCTGATTGATAGTGCAAACTGGGTGCTGTTGTCGGTGCTGAACAACCAACTTGTGAGCAAGCTTGTTGATGACTCATACCAAACAGGGGAGACAACTTCTTCTGTCGTCTCTTTACAAACAAGGACGATATTCCCTCGGACTGTATGTACTAATAACATTGACAAGGACGATAACAACTTAAGGTTGTTTCATAGTCTAAAATGTAAATGCATTTAGCATTATGAAATACTGTTTTTGTTACCATATATTCGACCTGTATGTACTTTCGAGTATTTCAGAGAACTCAAGAAGGAAGCTGTTAATTACCGAATTAATGTTATGTTCAGTGTTTGACCTTGGCTTACAGTGAATAAATCTCGCGAGAACCAATGCTTCACGAAATCAAGTTAACAGATGCGTCATATACGCAATGAAACCACGAACTTTGAAAAATTAGAAAACTTAACAATAATTTTGATAACCTTAGAATTAACAGTAAATGAGACACTGGTTAAAGTCCATCTTAACGGAAGCAGAGCAGCAATTATCGACCTATACAGGATTTGTCGACTAACCGGCCCAGTGAAGTCGGTGATTAAGAATTGCATTCTTTCCATTTAGGCAGTTATTTTGGTTTTAAAAATGACAAAAAAAGGCATAACAACTAATGTAATCTCGATGTTTTGGACAAAAGTTTGAAAAGGATTTAATCACAAGGACGCTTTAAACCGGCGTGTTTTACTCACCACTATGGATAACAACATTAACGGCCTTTTGTCCTGCTGGCTTTTGTACTTCGGCTTTCTGTAATGTGATGGTGTCCTTGACAGTTTGTTTATGTCTGTCATGTGGCAATTAGTCTAGGCTTTTGTTATACTGCCTCTAAAGAATCACAATTAAGGGCAAAACGAGCAGCTCGGTACATCTGCTGAACATTAAATTCTAATTTGTTCCGGATTTCGATCTGGCAATCTGACTGTTATTTACAAAATGTCAGCATTGATATTACTAATGAACACCTGAACACGGAAACGGATATATAAATCTAATTTTCGAATCGGAAATTACAATTAGTGGACGCGTTTCTTTGAGGCAGAGGAAATCGAGAATATCTTGACGTCACTAAACATGCAATAAGTTTATTTCTCATTATTTATAACGAAGAAAAATAACATTAATATTTTCCCACGAATTGGTATCACTAATAAACGGACCCTGACATAGTTTTGTTTCCGGTTAATGACATAGTATTATTGAAATGATGATTATCGTGTTATTTCCGGATGGCTCGCTACCGTCCTCCCGTGAGATCAATCTTTAAAGAGTGAACAGGAAAATACATCGTGCCTTGAAATAGTAGTAGCATTATACTATACGTCCCTTTTAACACATTCCGGAAAATTAGAAAAAAAAGTAATTAGATACACATATATTGAAACAAACGTGTTAAAATCCACGATATCTTATAAATTGATATAATTTATCAAGAAAAAAATGGTAATGATACACTGTTCTAATGTTGAAATCACTGACGAAATTTAACTATGTATATAAATTAAAGTTTTTTTTCTATTAATCAAAATCTTAGCTAGATATATATTTTTTAGTAATTCGTTAGATCAGTACCTACAATGGATTAAGTTAAACATGTTGTATGACTTTGTCGTTCCGACGAATTTCAGCCGGTTAAAATTAATTCAAAATATTGCGATATTTCATGATGATTCGGTGATAACGAAAACACCAAACTGTTTTTCCATTTCGGTTTGCCTATACACATGTATGACATGTTTTTTTATATATTGTTCATTACATACTATTAACAATGGACTGATGTAGCCGAGTGGTTGAGGCGTCTGACCGTCTTTTCTACTAGCCCTCCACCTCTGGGCCTCGGATTGAGGGCTAAGTGGGGCACTTGCTAGGTGATAACCACAGGTCTGGGTTTTCCCCCGGCTTTCCTCCAACCTCAAAATCGGGGATGTGCTTGAATGACCCTAGCTGTTAACATGACGTAACCAACAATAAACATTAAACGACGAAACCAACACCAAGTCAGTTAGATGTTTGATATAATTATCATTTGCGCCACTTCACAGGGAAATGACAACAGGGTCGATAACTCCTTTTCACGGTGTTATTGTCTTATTAGAAACAGGGACGATAATTCCGTTTTAGAAAACACTCGCTCCTTTATAGACAAAAGTTAAGTGATGCTGTTTAATGCATTTTCGAATCTACCGTATCCAAAATTTTGTTTCATGGAAGCTATTTCATTATTTGGCTAGTGAACCATTCCATTCCGATTTTGACATATTTTTTTTAATCAATTTTTCTTTCCCTAAGTTGCCAACAGAGAGCTGCAAATTCAAACATGGATGTGAGTAAAACAGGTTTTAATATGATAGCTACATCCCAGAAGTCGTCGGCTTCATTATTGTAAGACTCAACACCTTGAAATTAAGTTTTTATCAAGAAAGATTTCACAGAACGTATGATTGAGATGTAAATCTCACATTTACTTGATAAGTCAGAACGACCTTTTTTTTCGTCTGAACTCGAACTCCGCAATCGAAATATACTTACTTACCAAATATATCAGAATTTGATATTCAAATGGTTCTGTGTCATGTCTTACTTGTTTTTTTTTCAGAAACGTTCATCCTCAAAACGCAACACCAGAAGTAGTGCTACAGTTGTCCGTAAGTAACTTATTTTATTTTGTGAATTTGTGCTTGGTTTAACTGCTGTTATTTTATCCTACACATGTAGATCATTAAACGCCGATGCTCGTACCAGTCCAATTAGGCACTATCGTATAGTGATGGCACACTGAAATGTCATAGACATGTTGCCATGGTACTCCTTCTGGTCCATTATTCCATTACAACATTTCACGTCAATCAGGTTACTTCAATACTATTTTCAAGATGGCCAGATTCAACACCTATCTGAATATCTATGTCTTTTGTTTATCTTTTATTAGGGTAGGTACAGAGAAACGTAATAACAAGAGTTAGTTGAAAACCTCTCCACTGAGTCCAACAAATGTTTCGCAATAAGAGAGTTTTAATTGCGCCCAAATATGCATGACTATGTATATGCATCTTAACGTACAGTCCTGAAATACCGATATCCATATAGAAATGACGTCACCGAACTAAATGTTATACTTACCTCTGTTGCGCTAGTTTCACGCTTAGGGTTTGTTCAACAATTCAGAAAGAGTTGAACGCGAGCAATCATCACGGACATAAGCAGTATCTCAGCCATATCGGCCCCATTCCCAATGCAAAATAGTATCTTTTTTCCCAATTTAGACCCCAAGTTTCCCCAATTCTAAGGAAAACGCCGTTATTTCCCCCAATTCTGAGGACCCCGAGCCCCAGTTCCAAAATGGAGCATGGTAAACTTTGCTTGTTGTTTATATTGTAACAACGTCTATTGCAGCATGTATGGACATGCAGAGTTTCGCGGGTAATTACGAATTTACGGCGGACGGCAGCGGCAGTGTGTGTGGACTTTATTTAATTTCACTTCCTGAAAAATTAATTGAGCTCGAATTCCTCCACTTTGACGTTGATTGTGAGGCGGGCGGACTTGTAGCGGTATGTATTTGTTTAACTGAACATCAAGGACACCTCGACAACAGTACAATTATATCTTTTACTCTAGGAAAAACGAGCACGTTATTTATGAATTATGGGGCTACTGTACCTCCCTGTCTAGATAAGCATTGTAATTTCTTGCCAATAATTAAGATTCCTAGCATCACTGACGAGTCCTTGAAGGATAGGAAGGAACATCTGTTTTAGTAGTTAATTCATTATTTGGCTCTGCTCTATTGCTGCAATATGTGCTCTCTTCCAAAACGAATTAGATTCTCTATAGTCTCTAGCGGTGTCCCTCGAGGACATATTCCGTTTAAGGTTCTCCATAGTTTCTAGCGGTATCTTTCGAGGAAATATTCTGTTTAAGGTTCTCCATAGTTTCTAACGGTGTCCCTCGAGGAAATATTCTGTTTAAGATTCTCCATAGTTTCTAGCGGTGTGCCTCGAGGAAATATTCTGTTGAAGATTCTCCATAGTTTCTAGCGGTGTGCCTCGAGGAAATATTCTGTTGAAGATTCTCCATAGCTTCTAGCGGTGTGCCTCGAGGAAATATTCTGTTGAAGATTCTCCACAGCTTCTAGCGGTGTCCCTCGAGGACATATTCCGTTTAAGGTTCTCCATAGTTTCTAGCGGTGCCTTCGAAGACATATTCTGTTTAAGGTTCTCCATAGCTTCTAGCGGTGTCCCTCGAGGACATATTCTGTTTAAGATTCTCCATAGCTTCTAGCGGTGTCCCTCGAGGACATATTCTGTTTAAAATTCTCCATAGCTTCTAGCGGTGTCCCTCGAGGACAAATTCCGTTTAAGGTTCTCCATAGTTTCTAGCGGTGTCCCTCGAGGACATATTCCATTTAAGGTTCTCCATAGTTTCAAGCGGTGTCCCTTAAGAACATATTCCGTTTAAGGTTCTCCATCGTTTCTAGCGGTATCCCTCGAGGACATATTCCGTTTAAGGTTCTCCATAGTTTCTAGCGGTGTCCCTCGAGAATATATTCTGTTTAAGGTTCTCCATAGTTTCTAGCGGTGTCCCTCGAGAACATATCCTGTTTAAGGTTCTCCATAGTTTCTAGCGGTGTCCCTCGAGGACATATTCCATTTAAGGTTCTCCATAGTTTCTAGCGGTGTCCCTTTAGAACATATTCCGTTTAAGGTTCTCCGTAGTTTCTAGCGGTATCTTTCGAGGACATATTCCGTTTAAGGTTCTCCATAGTTTCTAGCGGTGTCCCTCGAGGACATATTCCGTTTAAGGTTCTCCATAGTTTCTAGCGGTGTCCCTCGAGAACATATTCTGTTTAAGGTTCACCATAGTTTCTAGCGGTGTCCCTCGAGGACATATTCCGTTTAAGGTTCTCCTTAGTTTCTAGCGGTGTCCCTCGAGGACACATTCTGTTTAAAAGTCTCCATAGCTTCTAGCGGTGTCCCTCGAGGACAAATACCGTTTAAGGTTCTCCATAGTTTCTAGCGGTGTCCCTCGAGGACATATTCCATTTAAGGTTCTCCATAGTTTCTAGCGGTGTCCCTTTAGAACATATTCCGTTTAAGGTTCTCCATAGTTTCTAGCGGTATCCCTCGAGGACATATTCCATTTAAGGTTCTCCATAGTTTCTAGCGGTGTCCCTCGAGGACATATTCCGTTTAAGGTTCTCCATAGTTTCTAGCGGTGTCCCTCGAGAACATATTCTGTACGACACACGCGAAATTGCTGGGACCTGTCAAACCGAATTACTTTATTTTTTGGTCAATAATATAATTCCTCAATGCTGTGACGAAATAAATAAAATGGTTATTTATTGTTTTAGCTTGTAGATGGATGGGAAATGAATGGTCAGTTTTTCCCTCCGCCTGCTGACCATCATCTAAGACTTGAGCAACGATACATGACTTTTTGTGGACAATCGAAACCAAGGAAAGTGCTTCTATCATCACAGAATGTGTTACTCATACAAAACAGAATACCCGTCCAAGGTCAGGGATTCACCGTCAGGGTCAACTTCATCGATAACCCTCAACGTAAGAATTCATATATATTACTGTTAATCACTAAGATTTCGTGAATACTTTATTTCGCGAACTCACCTGTTCAGACATATTCGCGAATACATGATTTCGCGAACATTGATTGAAAAACCAGTTTGAATCCGCGAATGATGAGCTATTAGAGACCACAATATCGGAAACCGAATCAACATGGGTTCAGCTTAGATTAGCTTAATATCTCGTTGTTTCCTTTATGCCATCAAAACTTCGTGACGTCATGAGTATTATGATGTCACCAAAGAAAAAGTCAGGTACTGTATTGGTGTAATAGAATAATGTTTTCCTTAAAGTCAGAAAAAAATTCAGTTTTGTGATAAACGGAATGTTATATTCGTTTCATTTCATATTTAATAGGGAGTTCGGTAAAAGGAAAACATTCTTAGACTCACTGCAGAAATCTCCTATAAATGTTTGCGTGATATCATCTCTGCTTACCTGTGTTATACAGCGAACCATTCCAAATATAAAGTTGACTTTTACGAGTTCTGATCATCGATATTTTGTTTACATAGATATTTCCAGCTGTAAAAACTACTAGTACGTTATTGCTGGCCAGGAATTGCACACCATCAGATCGGGGAAACTTGTTAAGACAGCGTCTATGGTTCATCGGCAACCCAAAATAACCACACCAATAGATTATTTTTTTAGAAAGCAAATTGAAAACTTACCGACGAGGGCATATGCTGTTTTGCCGTTCAGAAATAGGAGCCTTGAAAGTTAGATTGTGACCTTTGTCATAGAAGTAATGTTATACACTGGTATTCGTTGGTTTTGACTTGGTTTCTTTTATTGTTGTTTTGCGTCCTTTTAACAGCCATGTTCATCTAAGGGCCTATAAGGTTTGTATGGTGGAGGAAAGACAGAGTCTCCGGAGAATATGTGCCAAAATATAGAATAGTAGATAACTCGATTAACTGATAATATATCAACCACGTTTTTGTGTTTTCCCACAGCGTGCAATGCCGTGTCAATGTTTACCCAAGGAGTGCATACTATGAAGAATTATGGACAACGACGAAACTGTTCAATGTCAATTATCTACCCCGAATTGGTTCACCTTGTCTCCGTCGATGTGGGCGTGACAGCTAAAATGAACGAAGTTGAGGGCGACATCGGCCTTTCAGATCAGGTACGGCAATTCTAATGAAAGAGTGACGGGACAACACATTAATGTCATCAAAACACAACAAATTAGATGATGATTCTAGAATCTAAATACTTCCGCCATCTTATTAAACGGGAACACGTGCGATCTACTTAATTGTTAGTTAATTGATTGACAGGTTTTTCCGTCTCCGTGACTTCTCCCGTGTCCAGGTATCGTCTCACCGGCCAAAGTCAGTGTTCTGGCGTCGTTACCTACGTAAATGATAGGAAAGGTAGAATTTCCACGCATTCTTTTCATTTGTTCTTGAAATATTTCAACCTCAGTCGATAGCAAAACACCAGATCCGCTGTGTCATTTCTTACGAATAGCGTCACGCATGAGGAAAAACAACCGAACCTGAAAATGCCTGGCTATCATACATTCGGTTTGATAATATATTATTGTTTTTTTCAGCCTTATTAATTTGCTTAATGTCTGGGTGTTTCATTCAACGACAAAGATTCTTGATTTGGGAACTAAACATTGCCTGAGTTTAGTATTCATTTTCATATGGCGACGGCGTCTACAAATAAATAGACCCTCTAACCATCCAGATATTCATTTAGTTCATTGTTTCTATGGTAACTGTGTGACCCTTATCGTTGATGTTTTCCCTATCATTGTCGGTGGCAATGATAATTTATAAGTTTGAGATTTCTGTTGGTTTCATCGCGATATGACGTATTACAGAAATACCCGTTTACTCTGTCAAGATAAAAAAAATATGCCAATTCTTTATTAAGGTGTTTATCAAGTACAGTTGTTGTCCTTTGGTCTGTCTGTATTATAGCTGTTTTTAGATATGAGTTACTGGATCATTGTTAAATTTCTTAGGGCTCATTTTCGCGGTTATCCAAGTTTAGGGGCTAGTTAAAGAGGATTCAGTTTCGAGTATGTCAATGCATTATTATACAGTCATATACATAAACACACAATAAACATTTTGTAACAAGGAATACCTGATGTTTTCCTTTACGTTAAATATTTGCTGGCAATTTAATTTCGCGGTATCTTTGATGACCGCGAAATTGCAAAATTAGATATCCAGCTAAATATACTGACAATACAGTATGTCTGTATTGAAATGTTGGTATTTACAGTGCCTGAACAGGATGGGAAACGCCGACTTCGTGGAAGTGAGCGGAGCTAACGGATTCGAAGTTGAGGCGAGAAACCAACGTGAGATGGTTTGTGGTCTCACAGCTGGTGCTGGTAAGATCTTCACTTCTCACCATCCATCTACAATTTCCATGGAAACATTTATTTTAAATCTTGGTTTCACCTACAATATGTCATTTTGAAATGTCATCTTTCTATATGGTATCCCCTAATTCGCCGCTTTACGTCGTCATAAAAACGAGCCGACATTTTGCAGGAGTTTTATTAATCATTTTACAACCATTTTGAGGTATTTCTTTCGTCTTGGAGAATACATTTGAAATAAAAAAAATTGTCCCATACAACTAGCGAAAAATGTATTTGTTTAGGCTATATAACAAATTACTTCTCTGCAGCATTACAACCGTTAAATTTTGTGTTTCTGGAGTAAGGACATTTGTCATATTGTTTCGCCTTTTTTGTAAGACTTGACGAAAAAAGCAAATGTCTTTTATCATTTCGTGGTTACAACCTTTCTGTTTTCCACATCAGACGTACTTACACACAGTGAATAAGTCTGTCAGTTTTAGGTTATTAGATAGACGCATAAAAAACCAAACAAAACACCTGCGTCCGCCTCGAGACACATTACAAAAATAATGAAAATATCACATATAGACGGAAAAATCATTTATATTATGATACAATTAGTCGGTAGTCGTGATCTACAACATGTAATGACGTACGCTACAGCTTATGTAAGGAAACTAGTTTAATTTATTTTTATACCCTGTGTTAGTATTATCATGGATTTGAGTAGAACCGTCATTAGATTTTGTTATTTTACAGGTTACATATAGGAAAATTGCTTTCCATCCAAAATTTCCTCTAAATTGTACATCATCAACAACAGTTCAAGGAAAAATGAAATAACAACCTGTCAAAATAATCAGAAACCAAGTTCAAATTCAATAAAAGTAGGGATAATGACAACGGAAAAAGTTAAATGATTTAAGACCAGGTGTTTCGGAAGAGTAAGCTTGGTCTGTTTAATCTACGACACCAGCAATGTAAATTTTGGTCAGTCCAAGTAAGTAATGTCATGTTCTCAAAACGAGAACAAAGTTATATAAAAAGGAACCAACAGGCAAAGTGACGAGTATCCATATTGCCGTCACAGATAACGAAATACCTTAACAAAGTTATTGATCCTTTACACATCCTTACTATTTCTATTTCTAGAATATTAATATACTTCTCCTTTGTTATGCTCCACTTTGAGCTTGGATGTAGTTGTACTTAGTCCAACAGAATACCGATAAATATATATACAACTAATATTGATGCAATAGAATGCACATTTGTCAGACGAGAATATTTTCACAGAGGAGAAAAAAATATAATTTGACTACTAACAGACACTCAATACTCAATAAGTTCAGAACATGGGATATTTAAACAAATTTTATTATTTGATTCCGACATAGAATTTCCCGCGTTCTTTAATGACGGCGACCTATTGCTGTTGACAAATTACTCTTCGTTAATAGAAAGTTTATTCTCGGTTACAGAGAGATCCGGAATTCCCGTTGCCTGCACCAATACCGTGATAAGACTGGTCTCCAGCGGTGAATACTTCAACACTGTTACGTTTGTTTATACACAACCTAAACCGGAGGACCTCATGCAAGACATGGGCACGTGCTGAGGAAAGGTAAGTAAGCCGAACATGAAAATAAAAATTGTAAACCATCTCCCTAATCCTATCGTTATTAATGTTGTCTTAGATATACCTTACTTCTAACCATCATACCAACAATTTCAAACTCTACTTGAGGAGTAGTTTTATATAAGAAAGTGACATCAGTCATTCATCTTATGTCTACCCTGCTCGTTTGCGACGTCGAAACCCTGTACTGTCCAGAAAAAACGTTCGTGCATTTTTCTCAAAGAATAAATCATAAAACTAGACAGCACATATGTGTTAATTCATGTAAAGAAGTAAACCAAGCTGATATTTATATCACAGTGAACTTCCATATTTATATTACATGCCTTCAGGTTAATGTACGCTATATGACGAACATGTACGATGCGTCATTTGAAAGCATAATCATAACGACACAGCCCACAAATACCATATAGCTAATAATTTTCAATAGGCCATTTTTTCACAATTTCCCCATAAAATTATCAAAAGAAACCTTAACAAGTGAAAATTTCGCGGTCTTGTTAAAGGTGGATATCGAATACACACTCGTCTCAATGTTTCACAGATTAAATTTTCGCGATCGCGTCAACATACTCCAAAACAGAAAAATAATCCCCGCGAGAATAACCACTTATATGATAGCATACAGACTTTAACCGGTCACAATCCAATTATTTCATAAACATGTACTAAAACGTGCTTAATGATTCTTTTGACGAAATTCTTTGAAGCCGCACATCAAACGAAAAACGACAGTTGTCTATAGATTTGTGTTCTGCATACTGCACAAATAATCTCTGAACTCTAAAAGACCATATTGCCAATTAAGGCTGTAGAAAAACGAACAAAGTCTTAATGTAATTCCCTAACAATCTCGTATTTGTGGTAAACAACATTTCATGACATCACTAGACTTCTAACATAGTGGAAGGAGCTTACAGATTTACCTTCATACACACTCTCTCGTGACATTTCACAAATTTCTCTCTTTCTCTTTTTCTATTTATTTAAAAATGATTCATTGCAGATGTGTTAAATGTGGTAATTCAGCCTGTTTTGTATTGTGTTCTAATCTCACGCGATTAAAAACATGTTCTATATGAAAAGGAACATTACTTGGAAACAAAATCAACAATATGCAAATTCTTTCAAAAAACTAGCATGAAGGGTTAGGTTAGGGTTAGACTCGTGAAAACTCGTTAAAACGTACCAGAAGAATACGGCAGGTGTTCCAGAAGGTTAAGCGTCTTCTGCTTCACCAACGACACCCGACCTGTAAATGTTGGTCAATTCAAGTAAGTAATGTCACGATTCAAAATGAGAACAAAGTATATACAACAACGGAGCCAGCAGCCAAACTAACGAGCATCAAAACACGTCTAGCTTAATACCGCATTAACAAATGAGGTCACTATGGCGACCCTGACATATATACAAGGAAAATAGAATCATATGTTTCGGACGAGAAAGAGTCTTCCGCAGCCATGTCAACCTTGGTCAATCCAAATACATGGAAATCATACTCCTTTATCAGAACAAGGAAATCATAATATTGATATTACATATGAACAGTTTTCATCTAATCCAGGTTTACATCAATTGCAATATCATGATCGGATTGAAATGAACAAAATTTAAGCGGCTAATTAATTTGAACAATAACGTAACGGTGCTATTAACATGTTATGGTTGTTTTAATATGTGAATGAAGTCTAATTTCAAGAAAACATCCACCGATTTCATATCGTTAGAACCTGAGTATTTTCTTCATATTTTGTTTTCTGATTGGCCTGTCTAAATTTTCTTAATTGTGTCGTGATTCGGCTTGATAACATCAACAAAACGATTAAAGTGTAATTCAGTTTGAATCTCGGCGGAGATTGATATCTTAAATTTAACCCAGGAGTGAATATGTTTTAAATTACCTACAATTTATACCACTTACCAAAATAAATTCTTGTTTAGCAAATATTATAGTAAGGTACCATATTTATATATGTTCGATATGATATTTGTATTAAGCAATAATGACGATAAAATTTGAAAAAATATCACAATACAACACGGTAGAGCTTTGAAAATTCCTAAAATGTGACCTCCCTTCCACAAAACATGTATTATTATTCAAGATCCATTTTGTTTTCCTGATGTAAAATCCCTTCCATGTGAATATATTCCTTTATTCCATTTACAGTTACGTGTGCAATAGTGTTTGTTATACAGCTTGTTTGCCTTCTTGTGCGTTGATTTCTATGGTGTCCCTCTAGGCACCGGCCTTTGGAACAAAGTGAGGACATTGAACCAGAATAAAACAAGTGTTTTTTTGTATCGACAATAACTTCAGAGTTACCCTTGTGTATCGTTTGTTTTGGTTTGCATTTCATTGCACCGTCATAAATGTTTACATTCGATATAATGTGTACTTTCACGGTCTAGTAGATCGAAAGGAAGGATAGCATGATTGGAAACAATTAACGATACGGAGATAGAAATCGCATGGTCATTATCCCTTCAATCTATCGTGCCGGCCGATACTAAAGTCTACAGACCAGACTGTGGTAAACAGCTGTTCAACAGAATATATCATCATGTACAAGGACGAGTAGACTGGGCTGTACTTAGATGAAAGGACGAATCTAAAAGAAAATCCTTGTAGTAAAACGTCAGACATGAATATCCTTTATTTATATCAAGTAACAGAACGTAAAAAAAAAGAATTCTTTGATCTGATTTCTATACGGATTTTCGATATCTTATTGTCACCAATGTCTGTTCCAGTCAGGTAAACAGCAATTATATAGGTCAAGCGTGTCGTATATCTATACTGATGGAGTTCGTGTTTCAGTATGGCCGTATCTACTGCCTCATTTTACAATTTGCTTTAAAATATTCACAAAATATGCAACATTGATGAATTCTTGCTCAAAATATCAAACGACTTGAAGTGGTTGTTGATAACCGTTATTGTGTATCAATTATATCCAATGATTAGTGCACTCCGAACTAATCCACATCAACAGTTTCTGAGTTTCCTGTGACCTCTCGCAGCATCCAGGATCATCTAAGATAAGTCTTAATATTCAAATGTTCTCGTTTGCAGGACAGCAGTCACAGGAGGTGTTACACTGCACCGATGCCTTCTCTTGGTCAGACGCCAAATGCCGCTCCAGAGTTGACCTTTGAACTTCGGGAAGTGGATAGTGTACAATTGAACTGAGTGAATGAACAAATGCCTGATTTGAGGCCATGGAATCTTTCATCTACAAACATCCTTGTATTTTTGTGTAACAAAGACCCATTTATCAATAACATATTAAAGAGATATTTTGAAAGCTCTCTAAAGTATTTGTTTCAACATGGAATTTTCATAAATTTAAATTTGTTATTTTTCAGGTTGATCGTAATTTACCAGTGGGTACGATTTAGATTCTCAGATTTTTTTATGCGATCAAAACCTGACGTAATATAGATAAGGAAATATAGGTACACGGCGACAAGGTGTTCCACATGAGTAAGCCTCTTCTGCTTAAACTATCGCAACAGCAATCATACTTGTTGTGTAGACTACCTTACAGCAACGAAATGTTTAGATGTTTTCAGCTCGTCAGTTTGTTAGATTATGTTACACCTTAACAATTAAGGTTATATAAAGAATGAATCAGCGAAAACTTTGCCTCTATTTTTATAGTGCGAATGCATTCAGAATGTCACACATCACGCGGGAAAACTTTATCAATACAGCAAAACGTAAAGGCGTGGTAGCAGCCGGTCTTACAATTGATGTTTTTTTAATATATTCTAGAGCAAACCAAAAGTATTTAAATGGATACGGTTGCATAACATCAAATCAAATGTACGATGTTATTACATTTGAACAGGATCACAAAGCATCGCGAAATCGAAACGTTTTTCTGTATCATTTGTCCCAGCATCTTACTCAAAATTTATCCGGATGCAAAGCCTTGTGTGTGTAATGTAACCGAGTAGGTATTTCTGCTACCGTCTCCGGGCTATGCCGTTTTAGTGTAACTATAAAAGCGCCAGCCGGTTGCCGGATTGTCAATAGACATAGACGTCATATGATACAGGCTGATGTTAGGACGTGAACCCATCAACAACAAGAATCAAATAGAAAACGATACACATGGGTATATTCTAATGAACAAATTTATCCGCATTTTTACGCCATTTTCTGTTCGTATTGCAAATACTAAGAGGTCGCCTGCCAATCTGAAATCTGACCAAGGCATAATTATCCATCACGATTTTGGACATACATGTAATTTTCCCGCTTTTCATACTGTTGTCAAGTTAGATTAGTCAGGTAATACCACTGTTATGTTAAGGCCCTCAGCATTATTGACGAGTTCTTGAAGGACGAAAAGCTGTATGTTACAAAATGATAGATCATTCTGCGGCACTGTAACTAATTCTATATTTGTATCGAAAGATGATATGAACTTGTATGTTTTTTGTACAATTTTCTGAGAAATACTCATTATCCTTTGTCAGTAAATTAGAAAACACATTACGACAACGTATAATGATTTCAAAGTTTTGCAAAAAAGTTATGTCGGTATCATCTACAAACCGTGCACAGAAACACCGAGAGAATGAGTAAAGATTTATAAGCATAGAGATAGCATGTCACATGTCTTGTCAGATAGCAACGAATCAATCCATCACTGAAATAATAAAATAATCATATTAGTAACCAATTCTTTATCATACAGACAAGGATACTAGAGGATAATGAAGACACTGGCTACAAGTATCGAAGGAGATCAAAGAGATACAATTACTTATATAAGAACTTGAATAAGTATGCGTCATTTTTGATATTCATATTTAGGCCCTCGGATTCACTGACGCGTCCTAGAAGAAAGCTGTATGAAGCATTTCAATACATTATATGGTTCTACATTAACCCTGGCAAGTTTTGAACGTTAGTCAGGTTTTAACAGACCTTTCAACACAAAAAAAAGCCGAAAAGAAAA